GTGTGGGATTAAACAGAGACAGGATGGAGAGAAGAAGTGGGGAGAAAAGCTAGGATGCCGCTGTGGAAATCAGCAGGGAAGCAAGCGTAGGTTGGTCTTCCAGTGGGGTTCAAGATTCATGCATGTGTGAATCTTAGGCAGGACTGCTGCACGACGCTGATGGCAAGGAAGCCGGCCGTGCCGTCCTCCCTACTACTCCTCCCATAACATGTTCACCAAGGCTGAGCAACCACCCTTCACCCGCAGCAGGTGACAAAGTGTTGGCCTTTGTGGCCTGTTGGAAACACTTGCTAACTCCCTGGAGCAGTTTGGGGAGGGGAAGGAAAGGACAGTCTCTCTCATGGTACAGTCCAGGGTGCGCACAACAAAACCCACCACGGACCAGTCACTCCATGTCTAGAATCCTCCTCATCTAGAAGGCCAATAAGGCGTCACAAGCCAGTCGCGTGGCCTGCGTGAAATTGGTAAAGGGCGAAAGGACGAAAAACCTTCCTCTAGGCGGGTGAGCCAGCGATAGCCGGGGTCAAGAAAGGCACTTCTGTATACTCAGTGGGTTCTGGTCGCTGTATGGCACTGAGTGACCTCGGAGTTCGGAGGCTCTTCTGCCTGTGCTGATTCTTCGGAGCCTTTCCATCGCTGCTTCGGTCACTGTTCCCCATTCCCTACGGTCTGGAGAGAGTCGTATACACAGGCTGTTCCCAATGTGTGGGGCTATGGGACTGTGGCACGGAGGGTGCAGGGTCAGAGATGGCAGTGTAAAGGGGACGTTGGGAAGGTCCCATATAGGAGAAGGCAGAGTAGAGGCCAGAGGCTTGGCTGGAATGGCTGTAATAGGGTCCCGAGGGCTGGTGGTCTGGGTAGTCAAACTGGGGCCTGGAGATGGAGGGGAAGGCCGAACCGTAGTGGGGCAGACTCAGGGATGTGTAAGCTATTTGGGAGGTGGAGGGCTGCTCGGTGTAATGACCTCCAGGGGCAGACCCCTCCGTTTTCACCTGGGCCTTGGAGTCTACGACCGATGAGGTGGCAGTGGACAAGGAGACTCCGTGCTGCTTGGAGATCCAGGCAGAGTGTCCGCTGGCTGCAGCGAGGGCGCTCCCGAGGCCGTAGCCAGCAGCTGCCGCTGCTGCGTAGCCCCCAACATGGCCTGGGTGGCCAGCGTGTCCGTTGGGCGGCAGGTATTGGTCGAACTCATTGACATCGAAGGTCTCCATGTTGGACATCACTTCATGGCTGATCTCCCCGATGTCCACATTGCCAAAGTCAATGTGTGGCTTTCCCCCTTCCCCCAGGGAACGCCCTTCTCGTTTGGAGTCGGCTTTGCCTGCCTGCAGCTCGGTCTTAGGGGTGGTAGGAGGTGTGGGGGGCCCGTGGCTCTGACCTACAACATGAAAAACATTTTGAGGAGGAAAGAGAGAGAAGAGGTGAGTTACCGCTTTATGCCTGGGCTTTATACACACGCCAGCTCCACTCCTCCCAGTTGGCCAGCAACGGTCCAGCTGGAGACTTCAGTGGAGGGAGAGAGAAATAGCCAGCCAAAACCAAACCTTTTTATATCATCTTGTGGAAAAAGAGGGAGGGTGCAACAATACCCTGCCTGACCAGAGGAATGCAAGTGCCTGTGAAACTCGGGCACATCCCTATACCACTGACTCCAACAGAGTTTGTTGGGTCACGAGCAAGGTGTGAGCCACATCGCTAAGGCTTTCACCATGATGACTTGGGTTTTTTGAGCCTCCAAGTTGGCTGCAACCTATGAGTAGGTTCAGTGAGACCTGGGACTCACCTGAGGAGTGGTCTGGGTGCCCATCGGACATGGGTGACCCTTCGCCGGGATGCCTGTGATCCAGGTGGGCGTTCTTGTAGTGGGCTTGGATAGCAGCAGCCCCACCAGCCTCCCCCTCCACCTGGCCTTCGGCCTCGCCCTGTGTGGCCTTGCCGTTTTTCCGGCGGCGGGGCTGGTACTTGTAATCGGGATGGTCCTTCTTGTGCTGCATCCTCAGCCGCTCCGCCTCTTCGATAAAGGGCCGCTTGTCACTTTCGTTCAACAGCCTGCAGAGGCCAAGGCAGTAAAGAAGAGAAGAGGGGAAGGAGGGGGGCAGGTACATCAGAAAAAAAACCACCTATACACAGCATCGTGAGACACAGTGTTGTAAATCCAGATACCAGGGTGTTGCCCCATTGAGGATATTTCCCAGAACAATGAGGGAGAGCTTGGAAGTGTTTCAGTGAAGACAGCAATGTTTTCCTCCTCGTTAATTATCAAGCCCTGGCTCTGGTTGGTGTCAGTGTTGGGTCCCCCTTCCCCAGCTGTGTGATGCTTCTCACCTCAGTAAATTCAACACCCTCTCTTACATTGCCCAAAGGCAAAGCGCAGCCTTTCACAGCCATGTAAAATAAGGCTGGACAAGCTGCTTTCAAAGACTTTGGGCAAATTAAGGGCAGTTGGGATCATCCTTCGGACTAAGGCAGTGCGGCACACCCTTGCTACCTGTAGTGCTGCCTCCCGCATGTCTCTTGCTCTTCCCCAGACTGTATTTATTCCAGTTTAACTTCCCACCCTTCCGTAGGCTCTGTTCCAAGTTTGAGGCTCTACTGAGCACAAATGGCAGCAATTGCTGTTGGCTCCGCAGTACCCATGTTGCTGCATGGAGCTTGCTGGGCCTTTAAGCATCTTGCAATATCCTAGAAGGGAATTAAAGAAAATTTTGAAGGGGGGGAAACAGCGCGTTCTGCTATTCCTGGAGCTCCTGCTCACCTTAGACATTGATAATGCAAAAGGCTGAAGCACAAAGGACCAGCCCTTCTTGAACTTAGGCAAGTAGTTGTAAAAAATTTAGCTGCTACATTGCTAGCCTTGTAGAAATAGATGCGCTTTGGTCTCTGGATGAAAGGCACTGCAGAATTGTAAGTTCCTTCTCTGTATTCCTGCCAGATCATGGGCTGCTCTAGTTAATATAGGCTCTCTGAGGAAAATGGTGAAATGTGCAGGCAGGATGGCTCAGAGCACTTGAAGATGAGATCAACCTCATTGCTCAAGCCTTTAGCAGTGTCTCAGCTGGAAGCACTTGGGTTTCATTTTATGATTTTTCCCCTCAAATATTCTTGTGACTCAAGGTCTTCCTGCTTCCAACCAGAAACTAGTGCTCTCAGAAGGGACGTGTCTTCCCGTGACTTGCAACTCCAACAGCCGTTAGAAATGGCAGGGCTTGCAAACGGCAAAAAATATTCCATTTATGAGATGTCCACGCCTGTTTCTCCCCAACAAAAGAACTACCTGGGGATGGGGCTGTGCCATCAGCTTGGTACCCCTGAAGCCCTTAGCACTAAAATGTGACTGATTCTGTTAAGCTGTAAGCATTGAGGAAGATACAAAGGCCTGAACTGGCCTGAAAAACTGAGGACAAAGAGGAGGCATGGCTCAAGGAGCACACAGATAAATCTGGCAGGGGATCAAAGAGGTCGCCAGCAAGTAATGGGTTGGTTCCTAAGCACCCCCTGTCCCCTCGCTCCTTGTGCATCCCCTCGGCTGGCAGCCAGAAGGTGTGTGGCACGGGCTGGAGCCCGTTACAGTGCTCGCCTGGGTTCACTCCAGGCAGCCTGAGCAGGTCACGGCTGCACACCACATTCCTCCACTGCCTTAATCCCGGAGATTAAAGCAACTGAGCCACCGTGAATCCAACACCAGCTTTCCTGTCTCCCTCCCGCCACCATATACCACGCTCGTGCATCCTGGAGGGCTCTAATCCCTCAGCCTGCACTGCTCCAGACGGCCCTCCAAGGGGTCCAAAGGGACATCATGGCCAACCCTCATAGGCATCGTGGACTGGGAGGTGACCTTGCCTTGGCAAAACCTTATCCTTGCAGGACACCCCGTCTCCACGGGAGATGGAGCATAGAGGCAAAATCTGCAGCCTTGCAACCTAGGCCACTTCACTACAAGGCAGCCAGGCTCCGGTGTTCCTGCACTCCCAGCCCAGATGGTGCTAAAGCTAATAAGATGCTGTAGTTGGGAATGAAAGGCCTCTTTCTATGTGGGCACCTCTCAGAGCGAGAGGGCTGTAGGCTGGACAGGCAGGGAAGACCGCACGGTGAGCTCAGAGCAGAGCCTGCCATGGAGACCAAAGCTCAGCCTCCCAGATCTGTCTCGTGGATGGCGTGAACCAGAGCTGCTTGAGGCTATGGAGGAGTCAGATCCCTGCCCTCTGAGCTATGCCCGAGTGCCTCACCTCCTCTCCCGTTGACAGCAGCCCATGGGCAGTGCCACCAGCAGGACAGCGACAAGTCCCACTCCCCGTGTCTTTGCCTTCTCCTTTCCAAGGCTGCCTGCTCCCTCCTCCCTCCCACTGGGATCAGAGCTCAAATCGGCTTTAGCAAAGTGAAACTGGTGCGAGCAGGCAAAGGCCAGGAGATTTGGGGGGATTTGGATTTCACTTGCTTCCTGCCCTCCCCCTCCTGCCCCCCACGGTCCCCAGGCAAAGGAATCTCGCACGGGCAGAGAAGTTATGGATCACAGAGCAAAGCCCTTCATGAGGCTTAACCGAGCCCTCGCCACCCTCCCCGACACCGAATGCGCACCCCTGAGCCGAGGGGAGAGGGGCAAGCATCCAGCACCCCGCTCCGGGAGGAGAAAGAAGGACTCAAATCTTTCCGCCCACCTCTTGCAGCCTCCCCTTCTGCCACCTGGCACTGGACTGCGCTGCATGCCAGGTGACTGGCTCGGTGGCCAGAGGCCTGACCCTGTGCTGGGGCTCAGCTGCCGATGAATCAGTGCGGTGATGAGGTTGAGCATTGGGGCTGACGCAAGGCAAGGGCTGGCTGGGAGCAGAAAGCAGCCGGCGGGCTCTCCTACATGTCCACAGCCCCAGATTTTGTGGGCATGACCCTATTCCCTGGGTGCTGCCACCCCCATGCAAAGATGCCTCCATCGGGTCCCCTCGCTCCTCCCTACCAAGCCTTCTTTCCCTTCTTCCCGTGCCTTGCTTGTTTTCGGCCCCGGAGGTGGTGCTGGCTGGCATTTTGGCTGGGAGTCATGCCGACATTTTCAGCAGCCAGCCTCCATTTCAGAGCTGCTCCCTGTCCCACCCCGGGGGAAGGAAAGCAGCCAAGGCGAGATTTCATGACTGTCAAGCACAGAAACCTTCCCTTCTTTTTTAGTACATTTTGTTGGTCAACTGCACCCCTCACGCACTCTAAGTGGGTACAGACAGGGAGGTGGATGGGACCATAAGCTCCCTGGCATCACACTTGGGGCCAGGCGGGTAGCGTGGCCATCGGGCCATGTGCTGCAGCCCTTCCCAGCGAGGGCTGGGGCCCGTGGAGGACATAGCAGTGGCACAGAGCTGGAGCAAATGCCGGCCTTAAAAAAAAAAAAAAAAAACCCCGGCCAATGCAACCCATTTTGCAGGGGGGCCA